AAAGAAAATATTAAAAATATAAAGATATAAAACTTGTAATAAACAATTATTTCGTATAATGTTATATGTAATATAGAAAATACCGTAATTATCAGGTAATAATTTTCGCGGACAGCACCGCAACATCCAAAAAAGGCGATGAGGAAGATAATTGCACCGATTGCAATCAACAGCGAGGGAACTGATAAAAATTTATTGTCCAAGAAATGTTGGTATTTGTAATAAACTCCATGGATCACAATGCCAATCGATAGCAAAATTATTCCTGTTAACTGAAAATAACAATTTTTGTTTTCAATTATTTTTTCTTTTCATTTCATTCTTATTTAAAATTAAACGGATATAATACACTGAACAATACAAGCTTAATTTTGCCTGCAATATTTTTATCTTCGATATTGTTCGTGATAGTATAGGGGGAAGTGTGGGTAGCCCCAGACAACGGGTAACCGCAGACAGTTGAATATTTCGATTATTCAACCGCATGAAGAGACAAATGACACATTGCCACGCGCCTTCCTAGCGTGAAACACATTTTTCATTTAGTGTACATATGTACACGCGTAGATCGATTGGCAAGCGATACTGACATTACACTTAATTTTGTTACGAATGAAAGCGATATTTCTGTTTCAATCGAATTTCACCAAACCTTTTATTATTTATTATTCTGAACGAAATGTAAGTATTCTTTTATGTTTTGACAATTAAATGTAGTTTAAGATTCTTGAGTTTGTTTTTTATACTTTTTTTGGTGTTGTAAAAATGGTTAATAAAAATATTGTATCACGTCCATCGAGTAGCACCGGTCACTTCCATCTATTGCAAATTTGAAAAGCGTACACTTCCTATTATGATAGTTATATATTCCCAAGATTCTGTATAATATATGTAAATAGTTTTATTTCAGAAACGGATAAAAAATGCCGAAATTTGAAGGACGAATAAGCTATAAAGGTAAATGAGATGAAAATAACACGAAGGACGCAGTTGTTTACGTTATGAACGGTGAATTATCAATAAGATTAGCTGACGAAAAATGGAACGTGCCACGTAGTTCTCTGCAAGATCGCGTGAAGGCTTTAAAAAGCGGTCGAAAAATGTAAATCTTAAAGCCGAAATTAGGCTGCTTTGACTCAACTTTTAATGAGGAATTTTCATGGCAACTTTATAATCACGAGCTTCTGATTTGGCAGAACGTCTTAATATTCCTCATAGATTCAACAAAGAAAAGAAAATAGCATCAAGACACTAGTTTGTGAAATAACTTTTGATATAATACTTAAATAACATAATAATGAATGATATAATATTATTTGCAACATTTATAAGAATATTTAACGGAAAAGTGAATAAAATAAGATTCACTGATATTTTTCTTAGTGGTATAAGAGATATACTCAGATTTTAGTATTATAGTAAAAGAAGAAGGTCTAAAGTTCACTTTCTGAAAGCTTAGTTGGGACTAATACCTTTTGTTAATATATTTTTTTACTATTTCATTTAAATGTCAAGGGCCACCCACTTTCCCCTAATAATGTTATTCGCCGATATTCATTTGAACAAATGTTTCGTTGAACCGTCTTATTACATTGTTAAATGGATCAACAGAAAATAAGATTAAAAGCTCTATATATTCAATTACCGACTGCCGAGTGAAACGAGGTTAACATGAAGCCATGATTTATAAAAATACGGGTTACTTAACATTCTATTGACCTAAATTTTCTCTAAATACACATTTTTCACCAATTATTAAATACTTTTACAAAATCGAAGAAGTAGCAAGCATCTGTTGTTGTTGCTGCTGCTGTTGTAACCTGAAGCTTCAAAAAAAAAAATAATTGGAATCTGAAAATTTCTTTTAATCTAAGCACCAAATAAACAGGGAATTAAATGATATTCTTTTGTAATTATTTTTAAGA